AAAAAGCCGTCAACTGAGACATATGCTTTTGTTATTAGAATGTTTTTAAAAAAATAATAATCTTGATTCCATTAAAGACTTGCACTTTAATTAAGTCTGTAACTATTTTCATGCATCCAGAACCGATCTCTCTAATAGCAACACACATTAAAATTTCTATTTCCCTAATGAATCTGTCCCCAACATTCATGTTGTCCTCACAGAATAATTTCTCCAATGCCCAAACCATAAACAAACCTGTATTCCTGGTAACGGTCGAAATAGTCGCCGGCCCACCCACTAGTCTTGTCGGCGGCCATCACGGAGATAGAGACCAGACATAGAGCCACTTCCAAAACCCTAAGAACAACTTCGGCTCTCCATATTTTAGCCCTCCGTACAACTCCGGATTCCACTCTAAACACCTTTCCTCTTCCACCACCCACCGCTTCCGCCATCCGATTCGCCGCCGCCGGCACCTCCAGCGACCTCTCCTCGTAGCCAATTGGACTTCCGCCGTCCTCGAGCAGCGACTTGAGATGTTTAGCAACGATTGCACCATTTCGCCCAGGCGACTTAGCTGCGTTTTCAGAAGCGGTGGTGTTCTCCGCAGGGTGGATAGGGGATCGCAAAGGTGATGACGATAACGATGTGTCTCTCTTCGGGGATTCGAAGGAGTATTCCTTCTCCTTCCCCTTCGGGCTTTCTGGTTCCTCTCGCGGCGGGATGGAGTTGTCTGGTTCTTGAAGCAGAGAGCGTAGAGGTGGCCCTAAAAGCTTCATCGAAACTCCTTCTCTTCCGCCACTGTTGGTTTCCTGGAGCTGAACTTGAGAAGATACAGAAGTCGACGGCGGACGGCGGTCTTCTTCTTCCTGAAGGAGGGAGGCTTTCGGGGATCCGCTCATAGTTGTTTGCTTTTCGCTTTCGGTCTTTACACAGTAGGCCGTCAGAGTGTTTTGAAAGAGGGAAAATAATTTACATGCAGGTCCTACAATTCTAATCTATTTAGATTATTATCAATTATATTTTAGTATCATTAAGTACAAAAGTATATATTTTATTATTTAAATATTAATAATAGCGATATTTTCATATTATGTTTCATATAAGTATACAAATTTATACATTGAGTATGTAATTATAAATAAATTGGGGGGTATGTTAGTAAATGCTCAAAAAAAAAACGATTAAAACAGATATATCCTCCGACTGGAACAGATTCTTTCTTGCGGTGCGCCGGTGGCTGCCGCAAAACTTAATTAGTCGGAATAAATTAATGGCTTGAGTTTAAGTGTTCTCAAAAAATTTAGTTTAATAATATGTATATAAAGTTTAGCTTACTATAATTTATAAGTTCAATAAGAATATTTATTTCCATCATATTTTCAACGTTCGACATAAATCTCGAGATATGACATAGATTTCGATATAACTTTTTGAGCAAGAAATTTTCAAATATCCATAAAAACTCATCCAGAATTACGATTCTAGCAAACTTACAGTCAAGCTGACTGGGTGCACAAGAAAAACTCGATGTTGCCAAAATTAGTCTAATATGAATCAAATCAAGCTCAGGTTAAGTCATTAAACAACCTTAGAAGTTTTCTAAACATAATTAAAGGTTAAAAGAATGTCGAATCTAGCAAGCTTATAATCGAATCAAGCGTCTCAACAAGTCGAATCCAACGAGCTCAATAATGCTCAACTCTAACATCGTTCAGGTACTCGGATATTCTTCAAACGTTGTATGATCGAAGAAGCTCTCCGGACGATCTGATCAAAATGACTCATATTTATGCATTTATTGCACCTATAACGCTACAAATATAATACAGGAGAAGGAGCTGAAAGTTTGAGAGAGAACTTAAAGCTTTGAGAATGAGCTGA